CGAAGCCCCCAGTGGCAGGGTTCGCATGGCGGCCCCGCCTCATTTTGGCGCACCCCTCACACGGTTCGTGGCCCCATAGGGAGCTCCACCGAAGGCCCCAGTGGCAGGGTTCGCATGGCGGCCCCGCCCCATTTTGGCGCACCCCTCACACGGTTCGTGACCCCATAGGGAGCTCCACCGAAGGCCCCAGTGGCAGGGGGTTCGCATGGCGGCCCCGCCTCATTTTCGCGCACCCCTCACACGGTTCGTGGCCCCATAGGGAGCTCCACCGAAGGCCCCAGTGGCAGGGTTCGCATGCCTCCCCACCACCCATTTCGGCACACCCCTCACACGCTTCGTGGCCCCATAGGCAGCTCCACCGAAGGCCCCAGTTGCCTGGTTCGTAGGCCTCCCCACCACCCATTTCGGCACATCCCTCAAACGTTTCGTGGCCCCATGGGGATTTCCACTGAAGGCCCCAGTGACTGGGTTCGCATGCGCCCCCACACCCATTTCGGCACACCCCTCACACGCCTCGTGGCACCATAGGGAGCTCCACCGAAGGCCCCAGTGGCTGCGTTCGCATGCCGCTCCCACACCAATTTCGGCACACCCCTCACACGTTTCGTGACCCCACAGAGAGCTCCACCGAAGGCCCCAGTGGCTGCGTTCGCATGCCGCCCCCACACCAACTTCGGTGCACCCTTCACACGTTTCGTGGCCCCATAAGGAGCTCCACCGAAGGCCCCAGTGGCAGGGTTCGCATGCCGCCCCCACACCCGTTTCGGCACACCCCTCAAACGGTTCGTGGCCCCATAGGGAGATCCACCGAAGACGGTACTCACACCAGCATTACTCACAACTGCATATGGTTGGGTCCTTCGCCAGGCTAATTTTTGCAATCCTTCGTTTTTGCAATCCTTCGGTTTTTACTTAACAGCGAAGACTGATAGGTTTCTAATGGGCTAAAAAAAGAGCAGCAGATGACTCCACAGGGGGGTCTGGGCGGGTGCCGGACAGGGTGCCGCAGAAGTCGTTTTAAGCCAACAGTCACACACTTCGTGCTCTTCGACCTCCCAGAACTCCATTCCCGGGCACATTCTGAATGCCCGGAGCCAACTGTAGGCCACTTCGTGCTCTTCGACTTCCCAGAACTCCATTCCCGGGCCACATTTTGAATGCCCGGAGCCAACTGTAGGCCACTTCGTGGTCTTCGAGTCCCCAGAACTCCATTCCCGGGCCACATTTTTGAATGCCCGGAGCCAACTGTAGGCCACTTCGTGCTCTTCGAGTTCCCAGAACTCCATTCCCGGGCCACATTTTGAATGCCCGGAGCCAACTCTAGGCCACTTCGTGGTCTTCGAGTTCCCAGAACTCCATTCCTGGGCATGATTTTGAATGCCCGGAGCCAACTGTAGGCCACTTCGTGTTCTTCGAGTTCCCAGAATTCCATTCCCGGGCCACATTTTGAATGCTGAGACAGGCTGAGGCTGAGGCTGAAGCAGGCTGAGGCTGAGGCAGGCTGAGGCTGAGGCCGAGGCTTAAGGCAGACTGAGGCTGAGGCTGAAGCAGACTGAGGCTGAGGCTGAGGCAGGCTGAGGCTGAGGCTGAGGCAGGCTGATGCTGAGGCAGGCTGAGGCTGAGGCTGAGGCTGATGCAGGCTGAGGCTGAGGCAGGCTGAGGCTGAGGCCGAGGCTGAAGGCAGACTGAGGCTGAGGCTGAAGCAGGCTGAGGCTGAGGCTGAGGCAGGCTGAGGCTGAGGCAGGCTGAGGCTGAGGCTGAGGCAGGCTGAGGCTGAGGCTGTGACTGCGACTGCCGTTGCCGCTGCGACTGTCATCGCGAATGCGACTACGACTGCGAGAACAGCAGAATTCTACAACTGGATTTTCATCTGAATCTTAAGGGGAATGCTTTCAGATATGCTTCTACACATCGCTGTTAGGTTGCTTTGCCGGGATAATTTACCTAACAGCGTAGACTGATAGGTTTCTCTAGAGGTCCAAAAGAGAACATCATGACTCCTCAGGGGTTCTGGCGGGTGGACAGGGGGGCTGCCGCAGAAGTTCGTTTTACAAAGTCACACACTTCGTGCTCTTCGACCTCCAAGAACTCCATTCCCGGGCCACATTTTGAATGCCCGGAGCCAACTGTAGGCCACTTCGTGCTCTTCGACTTCCCAGAACTCCATTCCCGGGCCACATTTTGGATGCCCGGAGCCAACTGTAGGCCACTTCGTGCTCTTCGATTTCCCAGAACTCCATTCCCGGGCCACATTTTGGATGCCGGAGCCAACTGTAGGCCACTTCGTGCTCTTCGAGTTCCCAGAACTCCATTCCCGGGCCACATTTTGAATGCCCGGAGCCAACTGTAGGCCACTTCGTGCTCTTCGAGTTCCCAGAACTCCATTCCTGGGCATGATTTTGAATGCCCGGAGCCAACTGTAGGCCACTTCGTGTTCTTCGAGTTCCCAGAACTCCATTCCCGGGCCACATTTTGAATGCTGAGGCAGGCTGATGCGAGGCTGAGGCAGGCTGAGGCTGAGGCAGGCTGAGGCTGAGGCCGAGGCTGAAGGCAGACTGAGGCTGAGGCTGAAGCAGGCTGAGGCTGAGGCTGAGGCAGGCTGAGGCTGAGGCTGAGGCAGGCTGATGCTGAGGCAGGCTGAGGCTGAGGCTGATGCAGGCTGAGGCTGAGGCAGGCTGAGGCTGAGGCCGAGGCTGAAGGCAGACTGAGGCTGAGGCTGAAGCAGGCTGAGGCTGAGGCTGAGGCTGAGGCAGGCTGAGGCTGAGGCAGGCTGAGGCTGAGGCTGAGGCAGGCTGAGGCAGGCTGAGGCTGAGGCTGTGACTGCGACTGCCGTTGCCACTGCGACTGTCATCGCGAATGCGACTACGACTGCGAGAACAGCAGAATTCTACAACTGGATTATCATCTGAATCTTAAGGGGAATGCTTTCAGATATGCTCCTACACATCGCTGTTAGGTTGCTTTGCCGGGATAATGTTTGCAATCCTTCGTTCCCCTGACATCCGCCGGCATGCTGGCGTGAACGCCTCCCGGAGCCCCAGAAGCTCCTGCGGCGAGCCCCTGGGCCCGCCGGCCCGCAGAGCGGGCGGTGAGAGGCCGATCCGCTCGGCGCCCACGCTGGGCCCCGCCCCGCCCCCGTGCTGGAAGGTGACCCGCCGGCATGATGCTTCAACCCCTCCTCCTCCTCCTCCTCCTCCTCCTCCTCCTCCTCCTCCTCCTCCTCCTCCTCCTCCTCCTCATCTTCCTGTCTCCACCTTCCTCCTCCTCATCGTCCCCCCCTTGCTGCACGGCGACGCCTGTCACCTGTAGGGCGCATGCTGGGCCCGCCTAGTCCCAGATTCCCCTGGTGTTCGTCCTGGCTTCTCGCCCCAGGTCCGGCTGCGAGGGCCCCATGCAGGGCCCGACGGCGGGCCCCGGGGCCCGAGGGCGAGGAGAGGCGCCCGGATGGAGGAAGCCCTTGTGGCCGCGCCGTGTGCTCCGACGTGGGGCCTGCCGTCTCGGGGAGGGCGCTTCGGCCACCAGGGCAAGCGCCGCCCTGGACGCACGGGTCGCCGGGGGCTCTGCGGCGGTGCCGATTTCGTCTACTTGGGGCGCGTTCAGAGCAAACGGCGCGGCGACATATCCAGCGTCGTCGTGCTCGCCGTCGTCGTCGTCGTCGTCGTCGTCGTCGTCGTCGGAGAGTTGGGTCCGGCACCACCCGGCAGGTGGCAGGTGCGGCTCCTCGATGGGGACGTGAAGGCCATCCGCGCCGAGAACTTGGTGGCGGAGCGCGGCGCTGGCGCCGAACCGCAGAGCCCAGGTTCGGTGATTACAAATCGGCGGCGAGCTCACGGGGAAACGAACGGGGGCAGGCCTTCTCAGAGGGTAGCGAGGCTTCTGAGGAGCCCTCGCGCCTTTGAGAAGTGTCCTGCGCCGCCTCCGAAGGCAGAGACGGCTTCTCAGAAAGCCGCAGGGCTTCTGAGAAGCCCCGCCGCCTTTGAGAGGGCCTGCCCCTCTCACTTCCCTCTGTGTGTTCACCGCGGGTTACATCGGGCCTGTCCCTCTGCAGGAATTTTCAAAAGTAGCAACAAAATATGGGAACGATTGTTTCAACATTTTGAAACATGTTTACTATGTCTGACTGATGTTAATCCGCCCGTAGGAGGACATGCCCGACCTAAACCAGGGTGTGGTTACGCCGGGGTGCGCTTGGCACCGTGCGCCGTTGGGGGCTTGGGGGGCGCCAGGTTGCCCTCGGTCGTCGGGCCTCAGGGCGCGGCGGAGAGCTCTGTCGAGGGCACCGCCTGGGCAAAGCTCTGGCAGGCATGGGCACTCCTGGGCAAAGCTCTTAGCAAATCCGGGCAAATCTTTACCAGACCTAGGCAAATCCAGTGAGCACAGGGCGAACTTCCGCAGCAGGCTCGTCGTCTGCACCCTCTTCTGGGATCCTTGATATTCCATGCGGTGTTTCGGATGCCACCGTTGTCTGGGGCCACAGAACGTGGCAGGAACATGTTCCGCTCCTCCCCCCGCGTCGTCGACGTCCAGCCGGGCCAGGGTCGTCGGTCCTTCCCCCGCGCGAGCCCCGCCATCCCCAACCCATCGACACCCAGCGCCCGCCCTTCGCCGCGCCCCCCTCAGGAGGAGGAGGAGGAGGAGGAGGAGGAGCAGGAAGAGAAGGAGGAGGAGGAGGAGGAGGGGAGGAAGAGGAAGAGGAAGAAGAGGAGGAGGAGGAGGAGGAGGAGGAGGAGGGTCTGCGAAGGGATGCGCGTGGAAAGCCACACCCTTCGCAGACCATACCTCTCGGAGTTGCCGCCGAGGTGCGCCGCCCGCCCCAGCCGTCGACGTGGCGCCCCGCTCGCCCCCGCAGAGCCCTGCCTCGGCGCCAGCGCCGATGGGCTTGGGCGGGGTGCCCATCTCGGGTCGGCCGACGGGGGAGGAGGGGGAGGAGGGGGAGGAGGGGGGGGAGGAGGAGGAGGAGGAGGAGGAGGAGGAGGATTAAGAGGAGCAGCAGCAGCAGGAGCAGGAGCAGGAGCAGGAGCAGGAGCAGGAACAGGAGCAGGAGGAGAGGGGGAGGAGGAGGAGGAGGAAGAGAAAGAGGATAAAGAGGATCAAGAGGATAAGGAGGATAAAGATGATAAAGATGATAAAGAGGATAGCGAGGATAAGGAGGATGTGGAAGACAAGGGCGAGGAGAAGGACTAGCGCAAACCCAGGGTGTGTCAACGGTGTTGCCCTCTCCGGGCGCGCCGTATGCACGGCCGCTGGCGCCGCGCCGCCGCTTGTCCTAGGTCCATTGGCGGATGTCGGGGTAGGTCACCCGCGGGGGCGCGAAGGTGATGCAGGCCTCGGAACAAATAGCGACCACGCACGCCACAGCCATCGGTCGACGCCTCCCCCTCCCCCCAGGATGCAAAGTTGGCGGTGGGTCTGATGCGCTGCATCTGTTTTCTGCCGCAGCCTCCCTCGCGCGTGCCGACTTTGAGAGCTTGGGGGAGCAGAGGAGTGTCCACTGTACTTGCTTCTCCCCCTGCCGTCGCGATCCGCGCGTCGCGCCCGGGGCCAGAGCGGCTGCCGTTCCCCACGGGGGCGGCGCGACGGTGCGCGAGGCCAGGTGGCCTGGAGGCTCGAGGTTTTGGAGGGTTCCGGGCGGCTCCGTCAGTCCGACTGTCCTCGGCAGTGCCCCAGCCTCGGGATGCTCCAGCAGCCACGCCTCGCCGAGAGCGTGCCGGGGGCGCCCGGATCGAGGCCCGAAGGGCCGCCAAGGGCCCGACCGATTCTTGACCCGAGGGCCAGACGACGAGGAGGAGGAGGAGGAGGAGGAGGAGGAGGAGGAGGAGGAGGAGGGAGAGTGGGATGGGATAGGGGGGGAGGGAGAGGGGGGAGGGGGAAGGTGGGAGTGTGAGGGGAGGAGGAGGGGAAGGGATGAGGAGGAGGAGAGGGAGAGGAGGAGGCGTAGGGGATGAGGAGGAGAGGAGGGAGAGAGGAGTAGGAGGGTGGAAGGGGGAGGGGGATTGGGGGGAGGAGGGGGAGGGGGAAGCGCCTCTGGATAGCCCGTGCGAGTATCTCCGAAGCTGATCAGGCCGAGCGGCCTCCTCCTCCTCCTCCGTCCTCCTCCTCCTCCTTCCTCCCTCCTCCTCCTCCTCCTCCTCCTCCTCCTCCTCCTCAGGTCGCCTACGGCCCCGGGGGAAACCGTGCAGGCCCAGGTGAAAACCCAGAGGCCGAGATCGAGGAGGAACAGCGGGACTCAGAAAATCCCAGACCTCCTCGGGTCATGAAGAAATCACGACGGGAGGTTTTTCGCCACTTTCGGTTTCTGGGGGCCCTCACCAGGCCTCGGGACCGTCAAACAACGACTCATGGTGAAAAACCGGTCCCGCGGAACGGGTCGGGACCTCTGGGGGTCGCGTCATGAAGAAATCATGACGTCGGGGGTCTGGGATCTGGGCTTGCTACGGTCGAGGGAAACAATTATAGTGGGTACTTCCCCTCCCCCCAAACTCTCACAGTTGGCACGCGCGGAGGAGGCTGCGGCAGAATAAAATGCAGCTCATCAGACCCACCGCCAACTTTGAACCCTGGGGACGGGGGAGGCGTTGACCAATGAGTGTGGCAGGAGTGTTCGCTATTTTTCCCGAGGCCCGTATAGTAGAGACCCATGCCAAGAAACACCCTGCTTGCTGCAGGGTGCCCTGGGTTTCTTGTGTTTTGATGACTTTGCTATGGAGAGCGTGACGCTCCCACACCAAAAACCAATGGAGGACGTCCTGGGGTTTCAGGGTTGGGCTTCTTGTGGAAGGTTTCTTGTGGTCGAGCTCCTACTGTACCCAAACATCCGGCTGCTCCAATTTTCTCGATGCGTGGGCCCCGGAGGTCTAGACCACCTCCCCTTGGCCGGTTGTTCGTCCCGAGCCGTTTGTTGACGCCCTCGCGAGGCCCCGCGAGGGCCCCCGGAGGCAGAGAACTGCCAAAATACCGCCGTTCCCATTTTTGCTGGAGCGTCGGATCTCTGGGTTCTACAGTCAACCATGATAGTAAGGATGGGGCAAGTTGCCATGACTACCTTTGCATCCTTGCCCCTTCGGTATATTCGGCATCCTTCGGCATTCTGCTGCGCTCCGCACGGAGAACGTCAACACGGCGTTCCAAGGCCCTTGCATCCTTCCTGCGCATTTTTCCTGTCCAGACCCCCGACGTCATGATTTCTTCACGACGCGACCCCCAGAGGTCCCGATCCATCCCCAGGGACAGGTTTTTCATCCTGAATCGTTTTTTGGCGGTCCCGAGGCCCGGTGAGGGCCCCCGGAGGCCGAAAATGGCGAAACACCTCCCGTCGTGATTTCTTCCTGACCCGAGGGGGCCTGGGCATCCTGGTCGAGTGTACTGTGCACCCTCCCCCCCTTCGTCCGGCCCGACCGTCGGGAGCGGCGTCGGCGAGATCGGGGGCCTCTCCAGCGCCGCGCTGGCGGGCGGCCCCCCCCCCGCGGCCCCGCCGCCGCGGCGCCCGCCCAGCGCCGCGGCGCCGCTGCAGAGCAACCGGCGGCTGGGGACCATCCGGCGGTCGGAGCTTAAGACCCAGACCCCTCCTCCACCTCCTCCTCCTCCACCTCCTCCTCCTCCTCCTCCTCCTCCTCCTCCTCCTCCTCCTCCTCAGGTCGCCTACGGCCCCGGGGGAAACCGTGCAGGCCCAAGTGAAAACCCAGAGGCCGAGATCGAGGAGGAACAGCGGGACTCAGAAAATCCCAGACCCCCTCGGGCCATGGAAAACTCACGACGGGAGGTTCGTCGCCAGTTTCGGTCCCCCGGGGCCCCCACTGGGCCTCGGGACCGTCAAAGAACGACTCTGGATGAAAAACCGGTCCCGGGGGATGGGTCGGGACCTCTTTAGTGGTCCCGACCCATTCCCCGGGACCGGTTTCTCATGACGCGACCCCCAGTTGGGGGTCGCGTCATGAAAACATCATGACGTCGGGGGTCTGGGAAGAGACGGGGGTCGATGCACACGGGGGTCAGGCCAGGGCATTGGATCCTGCAGGATCCTGCGAAGACCCCATCTGGCTGACCCGGGTTGGCGAGCCGCGAGTCGGCCGCGCAGAACTATCGGCTGGCCCGGGTTTGCGAAGCCTTGCGCTGCAGTTGTTTTGTTGTCCTACACATCGCATTTGTTTGGTTTCCTGCGGACCCGGGTCTGCATTTAGGTCGGGCATGTCCCTCTACAGGGGGAAGATTCCAACACAGTCTGATGAGGACGCTGTGTTACGTTTGTTGGCTATATGCTTGATCTTATGTTTTTATTACTATGTTTGAGCTTTCGTCCAAACTCCCCCCTGTAGGGAGATACGCCCGATACGCCCGACCGAAGTCTGCACTGACCCGGGCCAGCAGATCCCCGAGGTGGTACAACGGGCGGCGGAAGCTGGGCTACCTCATCTCGGCGGCGCGCCCGGGGCCCACAGGGAGCCGCCGCCCTCCAACGGCAGAGACACGGGAGCGGCGGGGTGACCGGGCAGAGGTCGGCCTCCGAGGGGGCCCTCGCCGGGCCTCGCGAGGGGGCATCGAGGAACGACGCTTGCCCTGAGGTCCGACGCTGCAAAAATTATCCCGGCAAAGCAACCTAACATCGATATGTAGAAGCATAGCTGGAGGGGTGTATGTCCAAACGAGACACTGCTATCAACGCACGGAACTTGAATGGATGTATGTCCAAGCGAGACACTGCTATCATCGCACGGAGCTCGAATGGGTGCATGTCCAAACGAGACACTGCTATCAACGCACAAAGCTTGAATGGATGTACCTCCAAATGAAACACTGCTATCA